CGACCTGCGGGCTCAGGCAATCCAATCACCTCGGCCTCCCAAAGTGCTGGGATTACAGGCTGAGCCACCGAGCCCGGCCAACCAAGATTCTTAATGTTCACCATTTCATGGGTAAAGAAAGGTATTTGTTAAAGTTCTTTGCATTGAAATTACAACTCTCTGAAGTGAACTCTTTCAAAAAAAACAGAGAAGAAAGGGTATCAATTTTTTCTTTTTTTTTTTTTTTTTTTTTTGAGTTGGAGTCTCACTCTGTCACCCAGACTGGAGTGCAGTGGCCACTCCCCGTCACCGCAGCCTCGACCTGCTGGGCTCCGGCAATCCTTCCACCTTGGCCTTCCGAGTAGCCGGAATTACAGGCATGCGCTACCACGCCCGGCTGATTTTTTTATTTATTGTAGTGATGAGGTCTCGCTGCCCAGGCAGGTCTCGAACCCGCGGGTTCAGGCAATCCACTCACCTCAGCCTCCCAAAGGTGCAGGGTTAGAGGCTGAGCCACCGAGCCCAGCTTTTTTTTTGATGTGGAGTCTCACTCTGTCACCCAGGCTGGAGTGCAGTGGCACACTCATGGCCACTCCAGCATTGACCTTCTAAGTAGCCAGAACTACAGGCGTGTGATACCACGCCCAGCTAATTTTTGATTTATTGTTGAGATGAGGTCTCGCCAAGTTGCCCAGGCTGGTCTCAAACCCGCAGGCTCACACAATTCACTCGCTTCGGCCTCCCAAAGTGCTGGGATTACAGGTTGAACCACCGCACCCGGCGGGGTATTAATTTTAAAGATCAGGCTGGGCGTGGTAGCTCACACTTGTAATCTCAGCACTTGGAGAGGCAGAGGTGGGAGAGCTGCTAGAACCCAGGATTTTGAAACCAGCCTGGCAACATGGTGAGACCCCATCACTCCAAAAAAAATTTACAAGCCGGGCTCCGTGGCTCAGCCTGTAATCCCGCACCTTTGGGAAGCTGAGGTGAGTGGATGGCCTGAGCCCGTGGGTTCGAGACCCGCCTGGGCAGCTTGGCAAGACCTCATCTCTACAATAAATCAAAAATCAGCCGGGCATGGTAGCGCATGCCTGTAATTCCAGCTACTCGGAAGGCTGAGGCGGAAGGATCACCAGAGCCCAGCAGCTCAAGGCTGCGGTAGCCGGGAGCAGCCACTGCACTCCAGTCTGGGCGACAGAGTGAGACTCCAACTCAAAAAAAAAAAAAAAAATTTACAAATTAGCCGGTCATGGTAATACATGCCTATCCTAACTACTCAGAAGGCTGAGGTGGGAGAATAACTTGAGCCCAGGAGTTTGAGGCTGCAGTGAACTATAATGGCACCACTGCACTCCAGCCTGGGCAACAGAGTGAAACCTTGTCCCAAAAAAAAAACAAAAAGAAAAAGATTAAAGATAGAAGAATGTGGCCTGGAATTCAGGGACATAGGTAATAACAACAAATAATGTTTACTTAGTATTCACCATGTGTTAGGTATTATTCTATGTACTTTTATTTACTCCTTAGGGCAACCCCATGAAGTAAATAATAATATCATTTCCATTTTACAGATGAAAAGCTGGGCACAGAGAAGTTAAGTGACTCACCCAGGATAATTTACCCAGTTGGTAAGCTGCAAAGTCAGAATCTGAACCAAGGTAGTCTGGCACAAGAGACTGTGCCCTTAACCATTACACCAATGGTTACCTAGCTACATATCAAGCTGTCTGAGAAGTAGCTGGACCTAAGGAATCATCTGGAATGAGCCTTTTTTTCTTCTCTTCTGCTGTGTATCTCACTGGTGGAAAATAACCATAGCTACCTCCTGAGTTCCTATCTCTTCCATTCAAGAGGCCAGCCACCAGGTGGGGCATGGCAGCTCACGCCTGTAATCCCAGCAGGCACTTGAGGCCAGGAGCATGAGACCAGCCTGGGCAACAAAGGAGACCCTGCCTCTACCAAAAAAAAAAAGCCAACCAGACTGAGACTGGAATTCCAAATTCCTGGGAAAAGGACATTGATTGGCCCATCTGAGTCAGATCCATACATCTAGTCCAATTAGTAAAGGTAGGGTTGGGGGAGCTCTTGTGTATAGGGTTTGCCCCCTCTCATGCCTCTGCCATCACCCATGAGAACATGCCAGACTATTCCACCGAAGGAACAAAGCCAGATGTCCTAGTCTTCCCAGACAAGGCCAGACTAAATCAACCAACAGCTAGCCAACCCTTAGACATGAGAACAAGTCCAATCCATGTCAGCATACTATTATTGCACTTATGAAGCATGTGAATCACATAACAGAAGTCCCATCATATCAAACATGTGACGATGAGAGGGGCAGTAGCCAGAAAGATGGGAAGGTTGTACTGAAAAGTCCCTGCTTACAGGAAACTGAGGCTCAAGGTCATTCAGATGAAACCCCAGATTCTAACTCAGGTGAGTTTTTCTCGAAATCTAGTCCATTCCTCCATACCACACAGCCTTTCCACAGAAGTAAGAAACTTTGGTTAGTTGCCTGAGGTGAGTTCCCAAGTTAATTTTTGTTCAACCCCTATTTGTAAAACACCTGCTATATATCAGTCACAGTTCTCGGTACTGAAATTACATGATAAACAAAAGGGATAAAATCTTGTCTGAAAAAAGGGCAAGGTAAGAAAAAACACAGATAGAAATCCTGCTGTCATGAAGCTGCCATTCTAGTGAACCCACTGAGTGAGGACAGAGACCCATCCTAGAGAACTGCTCCTTCAGGGGGCCTCAGATATTGGGAAATATGGAAAGAACTTGGGTTTTGATGTCATAGACGTTGGCTCCTTTTCTTAGCACAAGTCATTCCCCTGTGGATTGCATAATAGCACCAGTTCTTCCCCTTTCTCTACATCTATACCATTTGTCAGGAAACTTTGCAGTGCTCCATCATGCTGATGCTTAGTCATGTGATTTGCTTTGGCCAATAGGATATTAGCAAATGCTATGCAAACTGAAGCTTAAAAAGCTCTTGTATATAGGGTTTGCCCCCTCTCATGCCTCTGCCATCACCCATGAGAACATGCCAGACTATTCCACTGAAGGAACAAAGCCAGATGTCCTAGTCTTCCCAGACAAGGCCAGATTAAATCAACCAACAGCCAGCCAACCCCTAGACATGAGAACAAGTCCAATCCATGTCAGCAGAGCTGCCTAGCTGATCACTACATGTTTGAGCAATAAATGTTTATTGTTGCACACTTATGAAGCATGTGATTATTTGCGATGTACCATTATTGTGAAGACTATAACCCACATAACTTCCCTCCCAATACTGTATTAATTTCCTTTGTGGCCTCCATTGAAAGGTGACCAGTCCATTAAAGAAGCCATATTCCTCTTCCTGCTCTGGAGGACAGGTTCATGATGAAAACTGATCCCATCAGATGCCTTCTCCTGAGAATTTATCATGGTGGTGGTGGCAGCACTCAAGCGAAATGTGTCTGCACCCTGATCCTTCCCACTCTCCTTTGATTCCTGCCTGTTCCCAAACTTGCTTCTTTACCTACTTACAAATTCTTTGAGCCCCACCCACATCTTTCCAATAAATTTTGTTTTTCTAAAAATAGGAAGAGGAGCCAGGCTCGGTGGCTCAGCTTGTAATCCCACGCCTTTGGGAGGTTGAGGTGAGTGG